GCAACGGCATGGGGAGTAGCAATAAATACGAGGGGAGGGTAAAACGTGGAGAGACGTCGACGAGGAGAATGAAAGCAGAACGCACTCCATACAGTCCGCCACCCGCACCCGCTGCGCCGATATCCCAAACCTAAAGTGATTCGGAGTTAGCGTTTCGTCGAATAAGAGAATAAGAGTCGGCGCCGTCAGATATCCAGGCGCTATGGGCCAGGAAACCACCGCGTTTCTCGTTCCCGGCCGCGTAAGAAGACCCAGAGACAGCGCGCACAACGCAGACACGGACCTTGATCTCCCCATCAAGCGCACACGTCACCAGCTCGTCGCGCCGGGCGGGACTCCAGTCGATACCGTAGATCTTGGACCGGTGCGCGCGGAGGCGGGCGGAGGGGAGGGAGCCTTTCTGGTGGGGGCGTTAGTTAGGTGCGTCGACGGGGAAGAGGGGATGGGTATGGAGGTGAAGGAGGAGAAAGGCAAAGGAGGAACGTCGCTAGTGGGCTACTGGAGGGGTATACGAAAGCGAAGACGAAGGCGCAGGTGGAGGAAGTGCGAGTGAAGGAAGGAGAGACGTACCCTTCGATCCCAAATGAGGACCTCCCCCGCATGGCTCGACGCGAGGAGATGCGGGTCCTGTCGGTTCCACTTGACTTGGGTGCCGCCGGCTGGAGAGGGCGTGGTTAGCATCGTGTCATGGCCATATCGGCGAGACGACGCGTGAGCGCCGAAGGCCACCCCTTCCCCTTCCCCTTCGCCTCATCCAACGCAGAGACACGCAGAGATGAGTCGTTTCGACTAGTCTGTGTGCTCCGCCGTCCTCTCGCCGTCCCGTCGCATCCTTCGCCCCCTGTCGCATCCTTCGCTCCCCGTCCCACACATCCACCTCCCGCTCCCCGCCGCATTCATCCGCATTCCAGACGAAGACCAAAAGAAAAGAAGACCCACCATTAAACGCACTCAGCCCAAACACCGCCCGCCCCCCCGCCGCGGCGCGCAGGTCCCACGCCCAGATCCACGAGTCGACGCCTACGCGAGGTTGTCAGTATCCAGTATCGGCAAGCAGGTGAACGGCGCATAGAGAGGGTGCGGAACGCCGCATGAGATTCACGCCGTTCGTCCCGGCCCAACGACCACGAAAAGCACCCAAAGAACAGGAAAAAAGGAGGCAAACGAGCCACACACACTTACCAGTACTAGCAACCACATCCCTCTCCTCCTCGGCGGGATGCCAATTGATGTCCGTGATCGCGCGGTAGTGCGCGTGCAGGATGTGTGCGATCGAGGACGGGGCGGAGGCGCTCGCTTTCACGGGGGTGTTCTTCCCGAGGCCGACGCCGCCTTTGGGGTGCGGGGGGTAGGAGGGGGAGGGGAGGAGGAGGTTCCAGATTAGGCTGGGTGGGGGGGGTTAGTGGTGGTGTTAGCGTTGGTGTTGGTGTTTGGGGTTGGGATGTAAAAGTGAGATGGGGGTGCGGCGGAAAGGAGTAAGGAAGGAAGGAAGGAGGAAGGGGGGGAGGAAGGGAAGGAGGAAGGAGGAAGGGGAGACGCACAGTTTCTCGGAGCTGGTGCTGACGATGTACTCTGCGCGGCTGGTGTGTGGGTTCCATTGGACGTCGGCGACGTCCCAGGTTCCGCCCTATTGCGCTCTAGTATTAGTTTTGTCGTGTGGATACGAGCAGAGAGATGAGGGATTGAGATGAGGTATTTTGCGAGGAGGGGATGGGGATGGGGGACGGCCAAGGATTTACCTGAGGTAAGAACCGGGGTACGCTGAGCGGCGATTCGAGGTCGATGATGAAGAGGCCGCGACGGGCGGCGAGGACGATGTCGCGGGACGTGGGGGAGATGGACATCTACGCGGATAAATTAGCATGACCAGCATAAGGAGGAGAACGGTCAAGTGGATGAAAGCAAGTAAAAAGCTCACGCACATTGCCCACCGCGTCGCCCACCAATCGCTTCATGTCAATCTGCATCGCCACCCGAAAGTTATTCGAGCTCGAGCTCGCCTCCTCCGAGCTGTCCCCTCCGAGACCACCACCTCCATGCCCATCTTGAGGCGGCGAGTCATCGCCAGAATTGTTCGCAGAGTTTAGGTTCGACGCAGAGTTGCTCGAGCCAGAAGCAGACCCAGACCCAGACTCCTCCGCCGTCGCAGGATAGAACATCCGCGTCTTGCGCCCAATGCTCCCCATTCCACTTCCTGCATGGCCCGGAGCGCTGTACATGGGATTCCCAGCCGCATCCAAAGGCAAGGGCGGCGTCCAGCTCGGCCTGCGCGCCGCCAACAAGTCCGGTGTAGGCGCAATCCACGAGGGTCTGCGGACGCTAGGCGGCGGGGCGAAGTTTACGATGCTGGTGTTGCTGGAGACACGCGAGCGGGCGGTTTGGACCGGCTGAGGTTGCGGTGCTAGTGTTACTTCATCTGTACTGCGCCGCGGTGCTCTGGGATCTTTGCTGGGATTGCGGGAGTCTGGCATTCCAGCAAGTCAAGTCCAGTTGTTTCACCGTCCTAGATATGTATCCGGCTTTAGACCGAGGATGTAATGTTTCCAGTCCAGAATATTGTGGCCTTAACAGAATACAATTGCAACGAGCAAGCTCAGAACGCGCGGTGTGGAGGCGGGAGGCAGGCGGCCTGTTGCCGCGTGTTTGGTGGAACACCGTCACGTGAGCAACGCGTGGCGCGCTCGATTTTCCGAACGCGTCGAAATGTGTTTCACGATGGACAAAGAATTTAGGCACTTGCTATGGTTGCTCGGTGTAAAAAGGTTGTCCATATTGCAGCATGCCCTCGGAAGGAGTCCAACCTTCGGCTCCCTTGAAGTCAACAATCATACAACACCATCACTGGGCAGGAGCGACCACCACGATCCACGAGGGCTGTCTAAATATACTCCTTTCTCTCCTTACAGTCCCCCACAGCAAAATGTACAATCTTTTTTCGCTCGCCGGTTTGGCGGCCACGAAGTGAAAAGCTGAATCTCAAATCACATTTTCTTCGTTGAGAGTTGGCGAATGCAAAGAAAATGAAAAATTACAGCTGGCGGGTAGTGCCAGAGAGGGAGAAAAATTACCCTCCCGACAAACTCACACCCTCGGGAGGAATCGAACCTTCAGATTCCTCAATTACAGTTGTCGGCTCGCATATCGAGAGAAGAATGATCGCCACGATCTACGAGGGCTTCATAGGCTTCGTTCGTGTCCCAGCCTCCCCAGCGAGCTTTGAGCTCTATACTCTTTGCGCGTCTGACGCAGGGGAAATCGACAGAAAATGTTTGGGAATTTCAAAACGATACTATATCGGACTAGGTAGTCGGCCACCCGGGCTAGCCGGCCACTTGGACTTTATAAGGCTAGGAAGTCATGAATGTTAAGATTTGAGTAAGTAAGGATGGAGTACGATCTCTGGGGCCTGTCCATACCAAATTGCAAGGGGAACGGCTGTGCCGGTCAAAAGTTACGAGACTTTGATTATCGGTCCGAAACGTGTGAACCGCCATTTCTTGGCATCAACCACTTTGTTCTCGCCGTTGCTCCTTCAATTCTGCTTCAATCGGCGACTTCCCGGGTTCGATATGCTTCTTTAACTCAGGGCTTATACCTACAACACTATGGGATGCAAATACGAACGACTGTCGTGTCATAAAGCCGAAACAAGGGTCTGGTCCTGACTGGGGGTCTCAAGATCGGCCACCCTTATATCACACAAACGGCCAACGCTATGGGTATGGGCTCTCGCAGGGACCTTCAGGATGGTTGAAGCCTCAGATTCCTTGGTGCGTTGGAATTTTAGCTATCTATCATGTTGCTTGCTGAAGCCCATTCCCCGAAACCGACCAAAATCGATGTCGTGAAACTCTGAATTCACTGTCAGAGTTGGAGGCATCTGGACATGAACATAGATCACCAGATACATTCAAATACATCCCATAAAACTCATGATTGTCGAATCTGGACCCGCATACCTCAGTTTTGTCGCACAAGCCCCGGACAGTTCCTCAACTGCATTTTGTGCCTTTCCCAGCACGTTAGAAGGGGATTTTCTTACCCACTGTGGAGCTCTTGTGTATGATACAGTTACTTAAAATGGTGCGTCCGACTCCCAACTACAACTTAATTTACTCGGGACCAACCAGCCCGGCCTGCAATGACAAAATATTGGGGGTGGCCGACTAGCCCGTCAGTTGCCATTTTGGGCATGGTGTCGAAAATAAATTCGCTACCACCTCAAATCGTCAGGTAAATTCGGGCAACTGGTATTAATCTAGTCTTAGGATACCTGCCATGGACTCCATACCTCCTTGGCACATCGGGATAAGTACAGCCCATCGGAAACTGTCGGGAACACTAAGGTGGCCGAGTACCCGGTCGTTGATAGTAATGGTGTTGAAGTACTCAGCAGGGCAGCCAACAAAGTTCATCCGGAAAAAGCGAGAAAAAATTACCGATGCGCTCCGTATATGAGCCCGAGAGGAATCGAACCTCCACCGTCCATTGGCCGTTGGCTTCCGACATTCCCATTGCGGGAGTGAGCGTCAGGTCCACTAGGGCTTTCTAACAGTAGGCATGCGACGGCATGCAAAATACGGTAGTTAACATGAAGTTGAGCGAGCATTAGGTATATGATCACATCGTCTCCTTGAATCCAGAGGCGGAGCTCAGATGCCACATTTCAACAAAAAGAGGACAGTCCAACATCATGCCCAGGGGAGGATATCGAACCTCCTTCTCCTCAGTTACGTTTTATGCATTGAGGATCACTGTAAAGGAGTGATCACCAAGATCCACCAGGGCTTTCCAGTCTTCATCCTACTTCCCGGTTACCACGTACGAAATCCCCCCTCGGTCGGTGGTTCATTCACAGAAACTAGCCTGATTGTTTTGAAGACCCACAATTCAACCAACGCATGATCGCACTCCAGGAGGTACTCTTCTTTCCGGCAAGAAAATAAGAATTGGCCACCTCGAATTCCAAGAAGAAAAAGAAAAAAAAGACATGGCACCTATGCCCTCGGAAGGAATCGAACCTTCGCCTCCCTCATTTCAACGCGAAACATGAAAAGCTACGAAGAGAGGGATGATCACCAGATCCACAAGGGCTTCTACCTTCAGATTACCCCGGCGAAATTCCTCCCGGTCGTGGCTTCTGTAACCTGAAACCTGCTTTAGGTCAGGTAATGGAGTGGCCTCGAAGGCTCACAATTCACTCGTCTGCATGTATGACTTTCCGGCCAGAAAATAAGAATGAGCCACCTCGAATTCCAAGCAAGAAAAAAGAAAAACAACTGAGAGACAGTGTACACATGCTCTCGGAAGGAATTGAACCGCCGCTTCCCTCATTTTCAACCTCACACTGGTACATCATTGAGAGAGGGACGATCACCAGATCCACGAGGGCTTTCTAGCCCTCATCTCGCCTCCATGGTAGCCGGGCGAAATTCCTCCGAGTCCGCGGTCGTGGCTTCCATGTAACCTGAAACCTGCTGTAGGCCAGGTGATGGAGTGGACTGAAGGCTCACAATTCACTCGTCTACATGTATGACTTTCCGGCCAGAAAATAAGAATGAACCGCCTCGAATTCCAAGCAAGAAAAAAGAAAAACAACTGAGAGACAGTGTACACATGCCCTCGGAAGGAATCGAACCCTCCGCCGTCCTCATTTTCAACTCCGCACTGGTACATCATTGAGAGAGGGACGATCGCCACGATCTACGAGGGCTTTCTAGTCCTCATCTTGCCCTCCATTTCCTGCTCAAAAGTGCTGTGGAACATGAGCAACGCGTGGCACGATCGGACGCGTTGAATACTTATTGGACGCGTCGAAAATTGTGCTTAAGTTAAGATGGAGATACGGACTTAGTCTACAAGACGCTCATAAATGCGCTATATCGTCGGGGGAGTTGAAGCGCCGATAGTCCTTCCTTACGCACAGGAGCGTCCACCACGATCCACGAGGATTTCCACTCCTGGTTTATTTTTTCAACTTGGCACCGTGAGAGTGAAGGTTACAACTTCTAATAAAATGTAGAACTTAGAAGGCCCCACAAGGCCATGAAATTATTTTTCCTGTGCCTCCTCCAGAAGCAAATTACCCAAGAACCCAATCGCCTCTGCGCGGAAGTTGTCGGCAGTGATGATAGTTCCATTATTGTCGGTGAGCGTCAACAGAGATGAAGAACCACCGGCCGACGGCGTCTTCCACTGCGGCCACAGAACGGGTAGTTTCGCAGCCGCAGTCGAAGTTTGAGCAGGCAAGTTGGGATCGAGGGTGCTGATGAAGTTTACTAGCATTCGGTAAGTTTCTTTCCACTGAGTGTCATGCGGGAACTCACCCAGAGCATCCACTCCAAGACTGCCAACGCTGGTTGTGTTGGTCGTCCACCATACCCCCTCGTCACTCGTGTGCGTCGCTCCAAGCGACGACGCGTTCTTTCCGAGTTTGCTCACTAGCAAATAGTATGAGCCCGATCCCAAAACATATAAAACCCTGGAAACCTACACCAGCTCCAAGTGTTCTGAGTCCGCGACGCGTGTTCTAGGAGGTATCTCCGTCCCCCGATGAACATCAGGTCACCTTGGAACGCGGCAAGGCGTTTGTATTCCGGCCTGAAGACGTCTTTAATATTGGTGGAATTGAACAACGGAAGGCGGCACTTACGACAGTTGGTTCGCGGTTCCTGTGTCGAAGGGAGAGCCCTTAATGCGGACACAGTTAGGAACAAACGGGCGGTAGTTTCAAGGCGAACCTGCGTGGGATCACTGGGATACAGCCGTCCAATCTCAGCGATTTGGTCCTGAGAAGCCTTAGGTAGATAACTGAAAATGTTCAGTGCAAAACTGTCACTGAAAGGCTAGGGACCCACTTGTAATGGACGTAATCCGAGAATTCTGAATCCGTCCTAGCATATGTTCAGAATTGTGTAAATAAGCGCAGGAACCAAGGCGCACGTGATATTGAGCGAGGACATTGAGAACAAACTTGAAAAGTCAAATAGTCAGGTTCGCTTGGGTAAGGCAGCGAAATCAGATACTTACGTTCCTTCGTCGTCGCAGTTGCCGACCATGAGTGGGATCTGGCGGCGGTATGGAGGTTATGTTTCGTACCGACCAAAATATTCTCCACTCACTTTAGCGTATAATCCTTGCGAAACCGACGTAAAAGGTGCTCGCTCCACGACGTCTCCGTCGACGTAGGGGCGCCATACGATGGAGAGAGCCTCATAAGAGAACACGTTCTCCGTCTTGTTAATAGTGGCCATGAGGGAATCGAACGGGACGCGACGCAGACAATCAAGAGTGTCCGTTGCGGCGCTACAATTGTTGGCCGACACGAGGCTGTCGTAGACTGACTGGCCCTCCTCGAGAGTTGGAGCCGGGAACGTGGCTCCGGATTCCTGAGGAACAGTGTGAGCAAGACGGTCAGTATGCGAAGTTCCTGCTTACGAGGAAGACGCCTCGAAACAAGGTGTTCGAGTTTTGCTTGTTCGAAAGAAGAAGAGTTGCCGCCGAAATAGATCCTGCACTCAGGCCGCCGCTTCAAATTCGTTCAGTATCTCTAAGATGCTGCACGAAACAGAACATACAGCACCACACGACTAGGATCTCCACCGAAGCTAGCTATATGTTTCTTTACCCATTGGAGGGCGAATATTTCTGATAGGAGTGATCGGAATGGGGCTCAGAAGTGTTCAACAAGACGTACGGTCTCGGAGGCCCAGATTGCTTACGCCTGCAGCGCCGACCTCTTTTCCTGGTAAGAACCCGAACGCTGCGACAAATACTCAGTGGGCAAATAAGGATGGGATGCGGGAACACCCACCATTAATCCGATAGTTTATAGCTACGCCAATAATTGGTTCGCTCGTCTCGATAGATCGCCTGACCATGACCGAAACATCGTTGCCACGACTATTTCCGACCTGAAATCCACCTGTTTGGATCGGCAGTCAGTACAATTTATAGCAGCGGCAGGATACTGATAGGATGCACCGGGGAAAATCCACTGGTTTACGATGGTAAGTGGCGACGGCGAGGAAGTAAATGTGCACGTACCACGAAGACAGGGAGCGTAGAGAGGTTCTGGGCACCGAGGGGTGTGATGACATCGAGTGTGAGACCTGGAAGTCAATGTTCGAGGAATGCCAGGAACGGATTGACGGCGCAACCAACACTGTTCGGAAATGGGGAGATATGGAACTGGGGGAACTCCGGGCAACGGGCTCAGCGCCTGTTGTGGACAAGCAGGTCCGAAGTCCGTCGCGTTCTGCAGACCAGACAACGGTTTCGGCGCTTTGGGGAGTTCGAAGCGGGAACTTTGGAAATTGATCAGGCTGAAGGCAAAGCAGGGAGTGGCGACACGACGTACGCGCTGGCGAAGGGCACACCGAGGTACTTTGTCAGATTGCCTTCGGTGAACCCTTGAAAGGTTCCATATGGCAATGAAACGGTAGGTGCGCCCGCAGAAGCGGAACTTGAACGAAAGAGAATGAAAAGACCGAAGAGGGGAGCGGCAAGCATGTCGATACGTTGAATTTGGAACCACCTCCTTATAAAAAATTCCGAGTACGTCGTCGCTCTGACCAATGCTCTCGGTTCACCTTCCGACCAGTCCTCTCGGTTCACTTCCGAGTCTAACATGCATTCCGACAGATTCCGACATCAGGATCTGCGTTTTGACCGAGGCGTCATCGTGCAACGTGATGATTCAATCCACTGACGCCGTTAGTCCGAGTCTCGATGGAAGATCGGACGCCGAAGAGACAGGGAATTGGAGCGGATACTAGTGACTCTCTAACGACGTGTGAGTAGTAGGGGAGGGTAAGACGCGTAAGCCCACCGCGCCAATAAAAACCTCACGCTGTAGTCCGAAGCGGTAGAGAACGAAGAATCACACCTAAAATGCGTCGCCAAATGCCCACTCCGATTGAATGCCGTCCGGTACTCGGGAGGTCGACAGATCGGAGTCTAAGGTATAGCCCGCCCGAATTGCTTCGAATTGACAGATTTTGGGGTTGAACTTTCGACGACTCGGACCGAAAATCGAGAGGATAAAGACTCCATGATCGCAGAAGAAGATTTGTGGATGCTTGTTATTGCCATCCATGGCCAGTTGCATCAGTGATGGCCCCGGCCGACTGATGGGTTAGTAAGTAACGCGTGACTGTCTCTGTTCGCTCCTGCCGCCATCGTTCTGAGTTATTCCAGAGTGGGAGTACGAAAAATTCCTACTGTCGTCTGGTCCTCAGACTTCACACAGCCCTGATCTTATCCAAACTTCTTCAATCTTTGTCAGGCCCTGAATTCACGATTTGCCAGCGTCGCGGGCGTTTTGTTCGAGGTGCGCAAGACGTTTCTAACGTCGCTACCCACAGTCTTTGGCATACTTTCAGGAGCTTTTTTTCGGTCCATCCAGCTAATCAGTACTCCCCCCCAGTTGCAAGAGCTAGAGTGGTCCTCACCTTCACGCCCACATAGAAACTCTCCTTGACCATTCGACATCTCACCCGTGTTCGCATAACAGCAAAGCATCTGTTTTGACTTTGTTCAACCGTCTTACAGAACAGAAAGTCTACTGTTGTGACTCAAGCGGAACAGAATGCTGATTCCCGTGTGCGAAGATATATCTGGCTCCCTCGCATTTAACTTGATCAAAAAACCTCTAACTCTCGCGTCAATTGGTAGAAAGCATCGTGCTCGTCGGCTCGACCTGATGCTCGGGAGCTTTGCCTGGGATAACCTCGGAAGCAAAGCCTCATCTTCCTCGACCTGCACTTGGTTCGCCGTTCTTCGGAGGGAATATTCATGTTGTCTCTTTGGAATGTTCTTTGCTGAATAGTATCCGAGCGGGAATCAACTCTAATCAGACCGATATACTTCCAGCTACCCATACATCGCGTTGGCCAATCGTTCGCTTCTTCGGTGTATGCGGGTGGCCAGCTTTGGCCAGTGGCGAAGCCGGACTCGAGTGGAAACGACGAGTTGAACGGCCAGATATGTTGATACATCAGAGACAAGGCAAGGCGGGAACCCACTGTCTGCGATTGAACTGTTCCCTCCCAGACGCTCTCTTCTGCCTCCGGCGCTGCTCAATTTTTAAATTA